GATCCGACAAAGCAAAGGGGGACCGGAATGGCCATTTCTGGCTTGTAAGCCGTCCTCGGCCAGTCAGACCCAATCTCAAGAGTTGGAACCCCCGAGATTCGAACCCGGGACCTTTGCTACTTCAGTTTAGTACCCTACCACGGCACCAAATCAACGAGCCCCTGGTACCTGTGCTGAAAAAGTTAATAGTAATCTGGCGTGAACGCTAATTGGCAGCCGCAATCTGCGTCATTCCGTGCTGGAAACATTAATAGTCAGTCAGGAGGCATGATCTCCGCGATCATGTGAGGAACTATTAAGGCACAATAGTGGAAAAGACAGGTAAAAATTTCGATTGGTGAGCAGGTTTGTGGGTATTAGTGACTTTTGGTGATAGTGGTGGCCTGTGGATACGGAGAGAGATCTGTATTGCCTCATGTAATCAGATTGGACTGGTGAACCGAGCTTCAATGTAGTCAGCTATTGCTGGTAGAAGCGAAAGGGGGAGTTCAAGTTCACAAACAGAAAAAATGCGCCCGCTGGAACAACAAGTTTATTGGACTGATAATTTATATTCTCACTTGAAACTAGCATCAGGGTGATAGACGCACAAGTTACGAAGTATTTACAGTCCTTTCGTTGCCACACGACCACGTGTGTACTACTATAATTAGTAGTTCTTGTGATCACCACTGAGGAGGCCGTAATTTGTGTGATTATGGTTCGGCAGTCCGCGTCCATGGTCGCAAATTCATTACCCGTGTTGGACTTTGAACCCTGTGCCCCTATCGCTCTCATATGCGATCGTCTCCAAACGACGGGCCAATAAAAGTCTTGTTCAGCCGATCGAATCTTCTGTGGTCAGCCACTATCAATTGCGTTCAAACAAGCTGGTATGATTTGGCCAATGGACACAGCCTATGGAAACCTTATCGTTTAAGGAACTGTTTGGCAGGAGCTACGGTTGTTGTCAAGCCTACTGCCAGGAATTTCAGATGAGTAAACATCCGTTTTGCCAAACCATATGTAGGGGTGCCACGAAGGGAGACGATTGGCCTAGGTACTATATTTCCTTTGTGAACTTTCAGCAGACCATAAAGTCGTGATGGGGCTGTGTTGGTTGGTTTCATGGAAAACCAATCGCTGGGCGTGAGAAGCAGCAAAGTGCAAGCCTTAACGTACTCGAAAGTGCCGCAACTGCGTACGCAAGCTTCCTCAAAACATTCGCCATTAAAAGTACAAATAAACGATCTACGAAATAAGTGGGTGCTGTTGAGAATAACTTAATTGCTGGCCGAATCATTAAAATCATTAAAGTGGTCAGTCGAAAAGCGAAACAGAAGATAGTTGAAGATTTATTTCCCAAACCCTTGTCTGAACGTCTTATTAATTGTATTGTCTCATTCTAAACAGTAAAAATACACCATTTAAGGAGTTCAAAAAATTATTTAGTAAGTGGATCATCGTAATAGGCTTTGAAAAATGACCTTTCTACATTTGGCACTTTCTATATTCGATAGATAAAACGGACGTCAGCACTTCAACGAGTTGATATTAAAAAGAGAACAAGATAAGAGTTCAATTTAGGGCCAAAAACAGCACGCGAAAACCCCATCCTTCCGTAATGCGGGACAGTTGGTAATAAGGGTTAAATGGGTGGAGCATATGAGGAAAAAAATAATCTAAAAAGTAGGTCGTATTAAAGGAGAAAATAATAGGAATAATTATTTCAATAACCAAAAACCGAATATGTGTGCACGATAATTAAAACGATCCAATAGTGCTTAATTGGGCAGGATCGTGGACTCTATCAATTCTATATCCCCTCTATAGAGTTGATACGGAGATAATACAGAGTCGAGGATTGTGTCTAATTGGATACTATCGGGCCTATTTTTATGACCGCGCACACATATTCGGTTATTTAGTTATTAAAATAATTATTCCTATTACTTTCTACTTTTAAACGCTCTACTTTTTAATTATTATGTAATATAACTATATATAGATATATCAAGGGAATAATTGTCGAAATTATGAAGTGCATGAAATGGAATTAAATGATCGGGACATGGCTTCTAGGGGACAGATCCTAGAATCCGATGAACATTTGAGTCGAAGACAATCAACTACCATGGAATAACTACGGAATGCCCCCTCTACAAAGGAGTAGAACTACAAGTAGTGTGAATTCTACATGATACGGTATAACATAAGTATCACATATATATTAATATGCGCAAAGATTAAAGGACCAGGTATAATATTGCTTTCATCAACACCGGAAGAGGAAGAAGAAGAAGATAGGCATATAAAGTATGTCAACAAGCAGTCAATACTTAAGACATGTTGAATGATGATGACGAGGAGGAGGAGGAGGAGGAAGAGGAGAAGGACAATAAGGAGAAAAAAAGGGGAGAAGGAGGATGACTTACTGGCCCTTTATGGCGGAGCCAAGCTGCGAGAGGGAACCCTTGAAGGAGTGAGAGCCGCTAAGTGATTTGGCGCCTCCGGGGATGGTGCCCTCGGGCCACAGATCCTCCACCCATATCCAGAAGCTCAGCTGACCACAGGGGCAGGAATTGTGCTTGGTGGGTTGCAGGTCAGCAATACGCAAATTTGACGTAATCAGCACGGGCGCCGTTCTGATGTCTGCAATTTCTGCCAGCGGGACAACCACCTGACCCACATGGCGTTCTTTGCCGTCAATCACGAGCATGGCGACCGAATCAATTGGCTTGGGTGGTGTGCTGTTGAGAGAGGGGGAGGGGAAGGAGGAAAAGATATACTTCAGTGGGGGGGAGGGGGGAGAAATCAATGGCGGAAATTGTAGCATGGCAATGCCTGTCAAAGATTATCGTCTACTACGAATATGCTAGCCAACGAACAGGCCACAGATGACATTTAGAAACGAATCGCGCAGGCGGGAAATGCATTTAGGCGGCTAGCCAGACCACTCAAATCTCGCTCAGACACCAGCTTACGTACTAAGCTGCTGATATACAGAGCATCAATCAGACCGGTGTTAGTGTATGCCTGCGAAGCATAGCCG